CTACATGTCGATCTCTTCTTCTCTTCACCCTTAGACAGTATACGATTGTGACTTTTTGGTCGGCCAGGTAGCCTTCTGTCCATGGCTGGTGGCAAAACTGTTTGTAAGTCATCTAGTATGTCCCACTCAGAAGGATGTGGAATAGGGTAGACAATCTCGCCATAAGTCTGTCGATATACTTCTGCAGTGTAGCAATCCATAGCGTATGCGCTTGAATCATCTTGGTTTAGATGAAGAGAAACTTTTATAACATGACCACACGGATAACCAGATGTTTGCCATTTCATACAACTACACGTCTTTGCATTTAGATCGACAAGCCCATTTAAGTTATTATCCAATACTTCAAACAAAGTGTTTGAACATGGTTCAACTCTCCATGACGTTGACTTCACAACACGTTTCGTTATCTTTTTTTCTGTCCATGGTGTAACACGATGTTCCAATGTTCCTGTAAATTTAAATAAATAATACTTAGTAAAATATATGATAAGTTACGAATTTAAAGAAATAATACATGCATGGTTTCTTTTCTTGTAGTACCACTGTTGAATAGAGGCTCGAAAAAATTCCATTGACATAGTAATGAATAATTTCCGGGAATGACGACTTAGAACGTTGATTGATTCTGCACTATTAGACGTCATGAAACCATATCTTGCTCCAAGTTGATGTACTCTTGATCATCTTTCAAACCCGACATATTCTAGTGTTTGAGCACACTGAGGCAAAACACGTCTTAAACAGTTTATATGCTTATTAAAATCCACTTCCCGATAAGCTTTTACAGCCTTCCAGTATGTCCATTTGTGATTTTTTATACCAGCAGACCTTGATTTTAGATTTCTATACAAATGAACACCACAAAGTCCATGAAAAGCATCTGGGAAACACCTTCTAACAACGTTGTCAATTGAGTTTGCCCTATCGGATATGATTGTCAGATTGCTAATAGGACCTATGCAATCCCTAAGATGCCCCATAAACCATGTCCATGAATCAGAGGTTTCAGATTTGCCAACCCCGTAAGTTATTAGCAGTATCCCATTGTTAGCATCCATGACTACTGTTAATAAGTTTACTCCAAGGTATCGACCTTTTAAATGTTCTCCGTCAACTATAATAACTGGGCGCATGCAATTAATAAATGAACGAATCTACAAAATCATATACACAAGAAATATAATCATTTAAATGTGAAATGCAAGTAACTAACAAAAATGAGTCAACAAAATTATATTGATTTACTAACCGCAGCACCAATGGCGATAAACAACAACTCAAAACGTCCATCTTTATCTTTTTTGATATGAGTTACCGACCCATGATTTTTTAGTTTTAAATTGTGACAATAAGCCGGCAGTTGGGCAAACGATGCTTCTGGCGACCCCCTCAACAATTCGAAGGCATAACATTTGGCTCTCCAAGCTTGAGAATATGAGATACTAATCTTGAACCGAGCATTCATGTCAGTCATAATTTCATGTTCCCGATATACCCTACCATTCAAAAACATTAACTCAGCCATAAAAACACCCAACACCTTTTTGTTTGCCTGTCTGTGGTGAGGAAAAACTTGGGTTCTTGAACATGTATGTTTATCAATAAAAGTCCTAACTTGAAACATTTCGCAATCTTTTATCCTCTTTGCAATCATACGCCACATACAGTTTTTGTCAATCATACACCTTGTTTCGAAACGATCTTTGCTTGATTTGTTAACTTTTAGTTGATAGCCATCTTCCACACATTTCGTATACAAAGCTATCTTCAAGTCTTCTTTTGTATCAAAACAATCATCTTTCTTGATACGAATAATTTTTATGTAACAATCAACTGCTATCTTTACAAACTTTTCTTCCGGTATCTGAAGTAATTCTGGCATATTCCAGTTATACTCCCGTGGCATTTTCTTCGGGGACTTTTCTTTGGGGATTTCTTCTTCAGTGTTATATGAATTACATAATGGATGTTCAACATGTTCATTTACAGTCGTAACTTCCTTCTCATTATCATCAACAACATCTTCCTCGGCAACGGCTGTTTCATCATCAAAATTCGGGTATTGACCAATATCAAAATCATTACACGCAGGGTCTGTTTCTTCTTCTGAAAAATCATCAAAATTCGAGTATTGACCAAGATCAAAGTCCGGGTATTGACCAAGATCAAATTTCGAATACTGACTAGTACTCACAATTTTTTTTGTTGGCTCATCATCGTCTAACTGGTCAATACGAAAACCAGAATTTGGTGCTGAAAGTTGATTGTGATTTGAATTAGGGAAAGGTTGTGGGTTTTGAGATTGTGTTTGGTATTGGAAATGTGGTGAAACAATATTTGCTTGGTGATGAAATTGTGGTAGAACCATTAAATTTTGAGTACCATAAACTGGGGTTGAAAAACTTAGTTGATTACTACCCGCTACTGACCCAACTTCACTACTTCTAGGTTTAACAACATACAATGTAACATCATCACTTGAAACACTAATGTAAGCAATGAATCGTTCAACATCTTCATTGTCGGTTAACAAATAAACTTTACCATTTCTCTGATAAGATAACCTAAATCTACTTAGGGGCTCTAAATTCAATTTATTTACAACACGTAACATTAGAGTTTCATAAGTTAACTTTTTTAATGACAGTTTTAATTGAAGATTCATGGGTAAAGGCATATATTGTAAAACACCATGAACATTCTCCCATGACCCTCCAAAACACAAATCTATCCAAACATGATCAGCATTAGATGATTTCATTATTGTAAATTAATTTACTAAACAAACGAGCTGCGAAACTAAAACCTGTTGCCGGATGGGGAAAGATGTCGTTGGATATAGGAACAGATATCGCCAGAGAGAGTGATAGATAGAGATGGAATGAGTTGCGATTTAAGGATTTAGGTTATGAGTTGCTGCTGCTGCGTAGTTATATACCCAAAACATTTGTGTTGCGAAATTAAAACCTGTTGCGAATTCAAAAATCGAGTTGTGAATTTGAAATTCAGTATTGCAATAGTCAGAATCTCGTTGCGTACGTAAATCGCAATGCGATAGTAAGAATCGCGTTGCGAATCTGAAAACTGATTTGCGATACCGAAAATCGCGTTGCGAATTATCGATCGCATTGCGATTTAGTTGGTCATTTTGGCAAATCCAAAAAAAATTGATTAAAATCGTATATTATAAGACATTTTTAATCACTGAGGTTATTTTTTCATTAAACTATGACTATCTTTCTAGATTAATCTTAAAACTTTTGAGCATTTCAATTTCATCCCTAAATTATAAATTTCATTCCTATAAAAAACAACGATGAATCAACATGGAATAGAGACCAAAGAAACAAGGAATAGTACCATGTCCATACCTATAAGCTTGCAAGTCTTATTATCTTGTTTAATTATCTTATTATCTTACTATATTCGTCATTATATACTGCTTCTGTGTTTCGAAACTTTTCTTACTCCAGGTCTAGACTATTTTTCATAGCCTCAAAACCATATAAGTTATGCTTGCTGCTGGGACAACTTTGAGAAGATTAGGACAGAGACCTTTGTAGAAACCTCTATAGCCTTCATTCCGAAAGGTTCTCCAAAATACATCGGACATTCCCTTATACGCAACTTCAGATGTAGTATGTTGAGCTTGCAGTCTGAAGAAAAAAAGGATTACAACCGAGCAATAATAAGCAAATATAACAAAAATGTATATACCAATACCGAAATCCATATATGATGATGAAGATGAACCCAAATTGCCGAAAAACAAGGGACTTGTACAAGTTATGATCATACCTAACCTGCAAAGGGTAAACACAGGTTGCTCCTAAAGCTCCAGAAATTGTCCCACAGCCTAGTTGCACAAGAGGACCAGGTTCTACAAAGAAAAAAGAAAGGAATCCATAAGAAAGTCTAGTTAACGAAAAACTAAGGAACCAAAACAAAAGCAAACATGAAACAAGCAGCGGACAGAAACCTACCACTGTCTTCGAGAATATATGTCCTCGAGAGATCTTTCAAGGTCTCATAGACAACAAGGTCAATGCCAGCATACGGGATAATCCCCAGAAGAGATGGCACAAGACCTTTATAAAATGCTCGAGGTCCCTCCTGAACCCAAATATCCTTGGTTAATTTCCCCAGATTCGGAGCTCTTCCACCTTCAGAAGCACAAGTCTGTAACCGAGTTTTTACAAGATCCATTGGGTAGATAGCAGATTGTGCCACTGCACCTGCTACGCCACCAGCAATAAGTCTCCCACTGGCTCCTATATCACCATTCTTATCCCCCATAATGTCTCCTAAAACATTCTTTAACATTTCATATGCGTAGAACTTGATAGCACTTTCAGGGGCTACCTTCACAACATTTAATCCATTACCTCGAAAAAACCCTAACACACCATCTTCCTTCCATATCTTCTTTACAGCTGGCAGAATACTAGCACGTGTAGTCTGCACTTGCAAAACCACCTTTAAGCGATCGAGAGGAGCAGTTGCAGTGCGAGAAGCTGCTCCTGCTATTCCTCCAGCAATAAAATATTTCCTTCTCTTGACATGTTTACTGATGCCTTGAGGAATAACAGCGTGTTCTCCGATATCTACAAGGCAAACCTTTCCCGATGATGATAAATGTTCTCAATAGTAGCTTCATGAGGATAAAGTAGAAGGAAGTCTCTCCATTCTTCAAATGTTATAATTCCATTATTGTCCTTATCGACATCTTCTACAAATCGAGCAAGCTCCTCATCATCAATTTGAATCCCTGCAAAATACAAACTGCCAGGGCTAATGAGAAGAAAACAACTGATTAATTGCAACCATGTGTACAATTAGCCCTTCCACATGAAACATTTATAAGGATTAAATCTGAGGAATCATGATGCACAAGAACAATCATATATTTTCATTGGATGCAGAAAAACTCAAGAAGGAAGCACTTCAATAAAGCCCACGAAGCACACCATAGGTCGATTATCATAGAAGCAAGCCTACAGTTTCCCAAACTCTGAAAATCCCAAATAATGATTCAGAAAACGAGCATTATATTCATCAATAACATACACAAGTCCAAGTCTGTGACATGTTTTCTCCTTACAAAAGAACACCAATAGATGCCTACATATAAACCACAAAGATACTGTCTCAAACATCCAACAAAACTAAATGGCACATTATATAGACAACGAAGACAACATCTCCACTATTAAGCCAAAGAAACTGACACATGAATAGACCGACCAGACATGTCTCAAATATCAAGCCAGCAAACTTTCCTTAGATTGTGGCAAACATGCTTTAAAGCTCATACAAAACCTAGGTGTCTAATTATCAATTTAAGAACTGAAATAAGATAGATTAAATATAACCATTCAACAGAAAACTAATATGACATGTGAAGCTTTATTCCACCTCATAATCTTCCCTTGAGACAATTGGAAAGCAACACTTTGCACAACAAACAGCAGAGGCAGCTGGCTAACACTTGAGTATAGCCTAATCCAAATCGCTTTAGAAACTTGAACTAGAAAATGTACATAACATAGCCAAAAGTCTATATTACCAATTAAAATACAGCTCTTGTTACTCTACAATGATCTCCAAGGTCAAGGTTTACCTTTCTTTACTTCCATTGGCCACTCAAATGTGAAATGGGAAAGTTGTTAAAACACAATGACATCTGACAAGCATGCGTGTGACATTCAATTAAACTTCCATTTTAGGTAACTTTAAAGAGTACATGACATCAAGTACTAAAGGAACCACATCACACCAGGTAAATGTACGATCCAAGCCATTTTCTGAAGTATTAAACGAACGATGTCATGCCGGGTAAATGTATTATCCAATCCAATTAGCATTAATTATTTCTCATATTTTAACTAAGATAAACCAATATCTCTTTGGCCCAAAGACTGTCTCACTCAAACATGAGTTTGAAAACCACCACCCGAAAACAAGGATTTAAGCACCAGAATACCACAAAATTAAAGCAATCTGCCACCAAAATGCTTTACAGTCGCCCATCGTTGTTCATAACACTTTTCTATAATAGTTTTAATCACTGCAATTAGTCTTCAAAAAAGTTAGACAATTGGTAAATCATTAAAAAAAAATTATACAAAGGTAACAAATTCTCAGGCAAACACATACAGAATTACATAATGCACAAAACCAATGGTTGCAAATGCTACTAGTTGAAGGGAAATTAAAAAGATCACAGCTTCATCATTTATAAGCAAATAACCATGAGTTGTGCGAAATGCGAATACTATGACTTCAAAATCAACCCCAATCAATACAACCACCTCACCAAACCAGTCAAAACATGTCAACGTAAGATAAAAAAGCTAAAGAAAACAAAATCCCTCTATCATTATAAACTAGAAAAAAAAGAGAACATAGCATACCAGCCTTAACAAGGGCATCCCAAAGCTCCTCAGGAAAAATGCAGCCATTATGTTCCACATCAAGAGCTTGAAAAATCCTATAGAGTTCAAGCTCCTTATCATCCATATACCTCTTAAACTCTTGATAATCCACACGCCCGTCTCTTTTTGCATCGCAAACTCTCAACAGAACGTTAGCATATTTATACTCAGCCGGAATCTGCAAAGCTGAAAGACCATTTTCAATCTGAGCATAATCCAAGAACCCCACATTGGCTGAATCAAAAAAATTGAACAAACTTCGAATTCTTAAATCCCTTTATTCCTTAGTCCCCTGTAACGCTAAAAGAACATGATCCATTGAGACAGGTCCGGGTTTTTTGACCGGGTTGCAACATCCGGGTTTGGGTTTTGCCTCCATTTTAGGCAAGCCTACATGCTCCACGCCATGCCTCGCAGCCCCGGACATAACAATGGCAAAACGACAACGCTTCTAATTTCCTTAGGCAAATTTCACCTAATTTCTCCGTAAATGTTATCCCTTGGGGCTGTTCTTCTTCTCTGCAAGCATGGAGGATTTGGAAAGAAAGAGTTCTGTTTTATACAATTGGGAACAAAGAACATAAAAGAGACCCTATTGTTTGAGGCAGAGAAATAATGATACACCCCCAAAGAATCAATTAAGGAAAGGATCCAAGAATTTGACTCGAATTACTGAGAGAAAAAAGACAAAAGATTCAAACTTACCTTTGGTTTGAAGAGAGAAACGGTCAAAATAAGGAAAAATAGGGTCAAAATTTCAAAGGAACAGGCTTTATAGCACATCAATTGATATAAATTCCAAGTCTTCTTAGCCTAAGATAAAAGAAACAATGAAAAAAGCAATATTACGGCAGAGTAAAAGAAAAGAAAACGAAATAACAAGAAAAACATTATTGGAGGTAGAAGAAAGAGTAGTAGTTCAATCGTCCAGACAATGAGATAGCACGTATTGGCTCCCAAAGCTCTTAGATCTTCCAAAATCACTTTTCTTTGAGAGCCCCAAGTCAGAATCAGATACAGTAGGAGATTAAAATTTGGTGTTTGGGAATTTTTTTCTTTGATGTTATGACTTCGCTTTCCTTTGATTTCGCATTCTGTCTACCACAAGAACATGATTGAAAGAAGCAGATGCTGCTACCAGAGAAAAGGAAGATATTATTTCAACTGTTAAAGTAAAGGGTAAATTACATATATGATCACTTAAGTATTATTTCTTTTTAATTTGACTAATAATGTTTTAGTTTTATTAATCAAGTTGTTTAATTGTTTAAATGATATCCAACAAGTCACTTGTCGTTTGCCGTTAACATTTAACGAAAGTGTTAATGCGTCAATACATAAAATTAATATAATTACATATTTGATCATCAATTTTTATATATTTTATCAATTTGATCTTAATTTAAATGTAATTAAAAAATTAACTATTTAATCAGGAGGTAACACATGTCAACACACATAATTGTGACATGTGTTACCACTTGATTAGAGTTTTTTTTATTAATTTCAATTTATTTAATTAAATATATATATATTTAAACCCATAAAATGACTCAATAGTAAAAAATAATGTTGTTTTACCTACATTTAAGCAACTATATTTATTAGATATATACGTTGTGATTGATTAAGAAATATCTAAACATATACTATTTTTTAGTTACCAAAACTATTCAATTTATATATATATATAGACCTATTCCTTTTCTTCCTAGATCATTGTGGAATGAGAAGGCCCTTGAACATACGTACAACCGTCGTTGTTAGGCAGACTCGATGACACGTATTGCATGCATATTATCTTTTTAGTAAAAATTTGTAAGAAATTTCCAAATTTAAAAACTTTTGTATTTATAGAAATGGTGTGAATATGGAGCAATTTTTTAATAGAAAAAGAAGCTAAAGCTTTACAACTTAGAAAACAGCCCTGCTAGGGCTATTTGAGTCACGAGCTAAAACTTCATTGATGGACGGGGCAGAGCTAACAAAGTAATGGTCTGGTCCTTGGCAAAGAGAATATTTTGCAAGCAAAATCTGCAGCAGAGTTGTCTTCACGGGGAATGAGAATAAAGTCTATGAGCCAGGCGCGATCATGGAGGGAGGCAGTGGCTCTAACCAGAGAGGAATGACTAGAATGAGCGTTTGTAGATGTGACCATGTAATAAACGTCGCTGCTGTCAAGTTGGCACTGAACTTTTTTGAAACCCTGGACCATGCAAGATTTAATCCCTCAAATAAACCCCATAAGTCAGCTTGACTGACTGTTGTAATACCAAGGGGTTTGGAGAAACCTCCCAACCAATTTCCTTGATCGTCTCGAAGAAGTCCACCAGCGGAGCCAAGGGAGGATGAGGTGGAGACAGCTCCATCGGAGTTGAGGGCAATCCAACCAGGTGGGGGTTTATGCCAAGTAATCGGGGAGGCAGCAGAAAAAGAGTCTACTGCAGGAGTAATGGGATTGTCATACAAACTTGCCCAGTGAATGCTCAAATGAAGGAGATCGTTTCTTGATGTACTCGTACATAAGAAGATGAAAGAATTCCTACTCTTCCATAATTTCCAAGTTATGGAGCGAACTGCTTGTTCCAGGGAATACTCGTTCCTTGAAAGAGGTAAAGCGTACAAAGATTTGCTAGCAACCAGTTTTGAAGAGAAAGGTCGAAAAATTGTCTACCATTGCTTCTGTTAATGATCGAGGTCCACAAGAGTTTTGTGTCCGGGCAGTCTCGAAGAATATGGAGGATTGTTTCCTCAGATGCTCCACAAACTTGGCAAGAAGCGTCGTCTGAAAGGTGGCGGAGACATCGGGCAGTAGTAAGGAGCTTGCTTCTTAGGGATAGACATAAGAAAATCTAACACGTTCGGGGACTGAAATTTTCAAGGAATGAGCCAATCATTGCTTTGTGAATTCCATTCATTATGTGTGAAGAACTGATAATCACTCTCTGTAGAGAAAGAGTTATTTGACGTTAGTGACCAGCAACATTTATCAAGACCAGCCGTAGGTGAAGGTGGAAGGATCGAGTGAAAATGTAATAGGGCGGAATGAAGGAGGAGGTGTTGTAAGAGATTCCAATTCCACTCTCCTGAAGGGTGAACCATGTAACTAACCAGGAGATTTGTATTCAAGGTAGCGTCACTGGATTTCCAATCGGATAGGGCGCCAAGTTTAGGGATCCAACAGTCTTGCCAAAAATGGACGCTGCCAATGGACCAGAAAACACAAGTTCGAAAAGGCTCCCAAATGTTTGACACAGAAGTCCATAGATTAGAACAGTTTGTCCGTTTCATAGTGAGGGAACAGCGTTCAATCATTTTGTATTTGCGTCGGAGAAGGGAGATCCAAAAATCGTCTTGATTATTGATAAGAGCGAAGCAAATTTTCCAGAGTAAAGCAGTATTATGGGCGCGCATTGATCTCAAACCTAGACCTCCACAAGAGCGAGGCTGAGCAATGGTGTTCCAGTTGACCAGAGGAACACTAGACGAACCCCATAAAAATTTCCGAATTCGTTTCTCAATATCTTCACAGATTCAAATGGAAAAGAGGGTTGATTGCGTGGCGTAAGTGGGGATGGCAGCAAGTACAAATTTAATCAAGATGCCTAAAACAGAAGTTAAAAATTTAGTTTTAGAGGAAGGTAAAAATAAATC